TAATATATTATCACGTTTTATTTTTTTGTTCTATATTCGGTCTTCTTCAAACAAAGGAGTAAAGCACCGTAGAGCAACCACATTACTCAAAAGCGAGCAGGTACCTGCTTATCAATCAGAAGCCAGCACTAATTTCCACGCAGGAGAGCTCCTTTTTCCAATCATCTGAACACTCACAACCGCTTCCCAAATAGTGGGTTGTTATGTTCACCAGTCAGGATTTTATAATAAGCGACCAGAGCCTCGCTGACCGACCATTTCAGGATGCACGACAGACCTTGTAATGGCTAAATGAGAACAAGCGTACTTCACCCTGCTAAGTAATCCCTTACTTTGTTTATTGTGAGCTCTCTGCGACAAAGACGATAGGATGGTTTTAAGGCAGCCTCACAGGCCTACCTATGGACCAAACGCGAGGTACCTGTTGCGGCAGTGGTCGATCGCAGCCGTTACAGCTAATGAACTGCTGACGAACAGTTTATAAACATTTTAGCATATCGTTTTAAAAAGTAAGCACGAGTGATATAATATTATGACAATGTTATATTTTAGTTGGAAAAGCCAAAGCTGGCGTTATCAGTGCATGCAGAGAAGCAATTAAAACCGGACAGATTCACCTGCTCGAAAGGATAATAACAATCGGATCGTAAAGCTTGCAGTAAATTATGTTTCTTTAATAATAAAAACAACAAAACCGTGCAACTGGAGAAGTACTGACATCGTTTTGACAGTTAGCTCTTCAAAATATTTTGGCTTTCGGCAGACAATAATCAATCAGCAGATGAAATATTTTGCCTCGTTTGTTCAGGATCGCTTTGGTGGTATGCAATACCAACTTTTAGCCTTTACGACATTAATGCAAAGAAAGAAACTTTAGAAGATTCTGATTCCTATCCTTCCAAAAACAAATGCACATTGCGCGAAAGGACGACTTTGTATTATACAAGAAATCTCAGCCATCGCGAAATATTTTAGTGAACACCAACGCGCACGCGAGATGACGTGGCGACCTTTACGATCAGTTGTTCAGGTCGATGTCTTGGCCGAACATTGCCAACACGAACATACAACCGAGTCCTACCATGACACCACTAGTCTGCAAGATGAACACTTTAATGCCCTGATTAATGTCTTCGCTGACAGTCGCTTCAAACTTTTCGTGCATTTCTGGTATCTAAAAATACTGATTGATGTATATTAGCAAATCAACGAAAGACATGGCACTTATGCCACGTAGTAAGGAATAGTCCAAAGAACCGACCGTACGTTAGCAAGAGGATCATAAAAGTCTGCCGGCTTAAAGTACTTTGAACTTGATACTTTGAACACTTCAAGTCCCAAGAGAGTCTTATATTTTTGACCTTCTACCAATCGTGGAATTCAAGTTTTGTAGTAATCAAATGAAAGCATTTGAAACACGGCAGTTAACCAACGTTAAAAAGAAAGTTAAAAGTCTGGTCACCAATCAGTGTAATAACTTCTTAAAGTTTCTGGTAAAAAAGAGCATGTCATCTGACACATACATACCATGTTTGCTAAAGATATGTACAGGAACATGCCACCAGCAAAGGCGAATACGAACGAACTGGCGTCCTTTACTTCGCCGGCTAGCACTCCGATGACGAAGCCGACGTAAATCGTTGAGGCGGATAAAAGATTAAAGACCAACGTCTGTCGTGGACTCATACCGGAATTAAGGAGTATTGCGACATCACCTGCAAAGAGTTTAGAGTAAATTTTATCAATTACAAGTAAAAGCGAAACGCGAACAAGAACAAAATGAAAAATTCCATAATTAATAACAAATATGAACTTAGTAAAAGAATAAAAGCCTGATTTATGTCACTACTACATCGACCACTTTTGGCCATCATAATTTTTAACACTTTTAAATATAGAGTGGTTAAGACTAGTGGTGTCCGCTCAGCTATCCGCTTCGTATTTTTCGTATAACGTGTGGTGGCTGTGTCGACGAAGCTTCAACGGCAATGGATTTCTGTCATTTAACCAAGTGGCGGGCTGATAAGTATCCATTTTCTTTTGTGACGGGTCTTCAAGTTAGCAAGTAACGAACCAGTTTTAAGTTATTGCCACTCAGCGGATCGAACGTTGCCGGTCTTCCGTCTCTGAGAATACCCAGATATGACCACGATGTCGACTAACATAGAAACGTGGTCATTTTTGATCTGGCTGCACCATCCGATTCTAAGCACACACCGTGACAAGCGTTGACAACACTTTTTAGTCGACTACATTTTTCATGAGAGGGTAATTACCTTGTTTAAATCCGTGCAATAAAACCTACCTGAGTACAGCGAGATAGCGATAGGTCTTGATG